TGCTTTGAAATTCATACGCGTCTCACTTGAGAGCGAATAGAAAATGCACTTTGTTAAAAATAGGATACGTTTTCTTAAAAAGTCTCGCTAGCGATTTCTTTTTCAATTTTACGACAACCGTATCTCAAAACGGTATCGTATAGTTATAATTTTTGTCACACTTGCTCCAGACAACTAAAACCGTTTGGTTCTAGTTGAAAATAAAATAAAAAATAAATGTAGGAAGAAATTCAGAATGGCGCACAATTAGAATTTCAAGCGGACTCGAAATTAAGAAATCGTCAGAATCGATATCTATAAAATTAACACATCTGCCTTCAGAACTGAAAGCAGATTGAAACAGACTGAAATAGACTGAATAGTGACTTTTGTTTGATGAACGTCGAGCGAAAAAATTGTAGCAGCCAATTTTGATCCGTTTAATAATGGAACGTGTCAATTACAAGGGCTCCATTTCCGAGTTTACAACGCGTCCGAATACGTACTTGTACAAAAATTTGAAAACCAGTATCTATCCCCGAAATATCGAGAGTACAATTGCGATTTGCATCGGGCTGCCTCTCGACAAAAAATATGCGCACCCGCAGTGCGTCGAATAATAGCGAGAAAAAAAGAATAGGAGGTAACAAAAAATAAAGTAGAGCGAATGTCGTATTCGGTGAATCGCCGCGGACCCTCCTTCACGCGAATGCATTTCAAGCATAACGCGCGCGTGTATTATGCGTTCGAATAAATTTGAATGCGAATGAGAACGCGATGAAAAAAAAAGGGGGGGGGAAGGAGAGGAGGGGGAGGAAACGAGACGCGCGAGAAGGGACAAAAGGGAGGATATATCGCGAGTAATTTTGATGGGCTCGACGCGCGTGCGACGTATCTCGAAATGAGAAGAAATTGGAATAGGTCGACATTCTCCAGACAAGGATCGGGAGCTGCCAATTAATCGATTCGGCGCTACTCCGCGCGATCCACGTTCCTCTTTATCGCCTGGATCCTATCTTTTAATTGGAAGGACAGCACACCCGGCCGGCCGACCGGGCGGATTAGCCGGTTCTCTTGACTCGGAAAGATCAATAAAAGCTGCCCGAGAGCTACAGTCCAAACCGTGTTTCCCGCTGGCATCGTCGACCTTATCGTCGCCATCACCGTGCCTCGTTGGAAAATGGCATCCAGTGCGCGTCAATATTTTTCTATGCCGCCGTTGCAGCCAGAAAGACCAAGTCCGGAGTGGATCGTCGGCTTATCTCCGCTTCCCGCGCTCGTCCGCTTCGCGCGCGGGCGCGCGGGCGCGCGCGCGCGCGCGCCGTCCCCTTCCTCGCAAAGAGCTAATTAATTAATTATCCTAATCCTAAAGAGACCCCTACCCGATATATCTTTAATCTTCCCAGAAAATGACTCGGTTTTTTTTCTCAGCACGAGACTCTTCTCCACGCGTCGCGTGCGAGCCGACAGATTAGGGGACGGCGAGGATAATGGGGAACGCGAAAATGACTGATAGAGGAAAAGGCCCATCGTAATGGCGAGTGTCGCTCGTAGTCGGCCATTGTGTCGAAATGCAAATCGCTCGATAGCCGGCGGCGGACGGAAATCATGGACCGTCTATGTGTGCGCGCGGGGCTTCTCCCCGCCGCGTCGCGTCGCGGGAAAAGCTTTCTTTCTGGCGCTGCTACCTCTCCACCGCTTCGCGCTCATAGAGGAATCTGACTCGTCAGACTGGTTTATTAAATTTTCACGGTACGGCGGACACGTTTAATTTTACTTTGTATTGATTTTACCGCAGAATGGGAATACGGCGCGGACGGACGATGTAATTCTTTTCCACAGTCTGTGCGGAGAGAGAGAGTCGAGCCTCGCACACAATGCGCGACGATACGAAGCTCCAATCGACGGTGTACCCAATGAAAATTGACTCGTCCCCGCGTCAATCAATCGATTAATAGTCGAAAAGTACACAGCGCGTGGCTGCGAGAGCCGCCGGTCGTTTTGTACGCCGCGCGCAAATGTATATTACGGGATGGAAATCGTTGTGGAAATATTTACAGTATCCCGCAAATCGTTCGAATTGGAAAAATTATTAAAAGAGATCGGGCGTATCAATAAAAGTCTGTCAATAATTGATGAATAGCGGTGACCTTTGACCCGCCCGTACAATCTTCTCCTCGCCGAGCCAATTCCCTCTCGGCCCTCTCAAAGACAAAGTGTCCCGAAACATGTGTGTAGCCGAAGCCATCTCGGGCCGGACGATAGGTTGCCGAAATTAGAAAATACCAGCACGCGTTGGCCGAGAAACAATTATTTGTTGCAAGCGTCTCATGAAGTACGTGCAACGCCTCGATGAAACTGTTACTGTACACCGGGCACTGTATACCCGTCCGTAAAATGTCGCGCACGTTTCTGGCGTTTCAGTTTGTTCTGATACAGGACTCGGGGAGCCGAGTGTCTCGGAGGCGAGTCGGCAAGATAGGGATAAAGTTTTGATAAATATCCTCGAGGATGTATCACAATGATAGCACCTCCCGCACGTAAGTATATCTATTATATTGTAACCGTAAGACTCCCGCGGTCTTCCTCGCACGGGAGTCGATAACGCCTGGTTAAATCTTTCGTATCGTGACGGAAATTTCACAGGTATCGGCGTATCTTGTCGGTACACACACACACACACACACACACACACACACACACACACACACACACACACACACCGGATCTCGCCGGAGTGATTACCAAAAAAAACCGATTATGAGCCCAGAAATGAGAGATTACGGTTGCGCGCGCCTCCGACACGCTACGCTCGCACCGACTATTTTTCGAGACGGCATAATGGAGATGTAGCGTAACATGCCTGATGTGCTTATTTTAATGAGAGTCCGGGCGGCAGAAGTCGAAACTTTTCCCGATAACATTGCCGGCTCCCCCGAGCTTGTAAAGTAGTTAAGTCGACTCGTGATTTATGGCTGATACAATGAGTCCGCTTCCACTTGAATATCGTCTCTTTTTTTTATCAATATGAATGAGATGAGAGCGGGTATAATTCCCGGATGTGATTACTTAATAGAGTATTTAGAGATACAGTCGCGCATTTCCGTATTTCGCCGTTCCTCGATACGATGTTTCCTCCGCGTGACAGGTTTATTGAGAGCAAACACGTCGATATTCTCCATTGGAGACGTTCGTTGTAACATTATTAATAATGCGTACCAACGCGTATACACGTAACAATACGTATATATTTTCGTACAGCGTAATTTCTGCCCTTCGTATTATTTTATTGAGTCCTTTGTTTCCCCAGCGGAACATTGATTCCAATCTCACGAGTCTTCGAATCTTTTTTTTTACGCTATCATTGTAATAATAGATGACAATAGGAAGCCTTGGGCACGTAGAAAATTAGTTCCGAGCATTACTGCAGGAATAGTCGACGGTCTGGGTCGTCGTAACGTCGTTGAATAATGCATTCTCCGTTACAGCGATGATATTTACAAACGGATACTTCAAAATACAGATGTAACTCTTGGTAATAAAAGCAACAAATTATTCATACGAAATGCAAGATATGATTCCCTTTTGTGCCTTTTACTTGCAAGTAAAAGCGCGTTTGCTCCCGTCTTCTGCCATACATAAAAGCGTTTGCTTTATTTCCATATAATCCAATATCTTTCTCAATACCTAAAGCAACGCAAACACAATAAGCACAACAATACGATCTCGGTGTACCGGCGAAAAGAGAAGACAGTGCTTAGCCTCTAACGCGTAATGACAACACGATTGAGCGACCGTATCGTTGATCTCACGCAAATGTATCTTTACGAAATATTATTCAGAGAGCTCGCGCAGCGTTACATGTGCACGCGCGCACGCAAGGACGTTCATTATCCCCGTGTAAGACCCCCGTCCTTCATTTTTCCTCATAATTAAAGTCGAAACATGAAAAAGAATGTTCTGTCACACACGACAATTCCATTTGGCTACCACGAGTGCCACTAATAATAATCCAAATGAATGCCGCTCGTCTTTATGCGCCTTTGTGCGGTGCATTTCGATTATGGTGATTAGACTACTCGCAGCTGTTCCGCGGAATTTGAATTCTTTCGCCTAGCGTTCCTAGAAAGTTACTAAACTTCTAATATTAATTAGCGCGTTATATTTATATTAACTCATCTAATTGCAGCCGGCAATTAAGGAAACCGAGGAAAACACGCTTGTCAGGCAAACATAGTTGTGTCACTAGTTTGAATGCATACAGAAAAGAGGCGTTGTTATTCCTCTTTGAAAGATCGTGTCGGCGCGTTCCACAAAGGATCTAATTAATGATATTAAGACTCCGTATTATCAGATTAATTGAACGATCTCTCTCCTGTTGCGTTTCAGTTTTTATTATCAATGAAAACCGCAATTTAGTAACAAGGTAGCGAGGTGGATCGATGAAAAGCGTACGGCGATAACGCGTTCTGTTTCATTGTTCACGATTTTTTGCCTCTCTACTATGAATTCTTTTTCTACGAATTACAGTAATAAAATAACTTTTTTCCCAGAGAATTTTTTTGTCAAATCTGAATTAACAATGAGACAAAACGCGTAAGCCATATCCTATATGTATTCGTATTTAATTATTTTACGTAATTAAAAAATTTCTGCGTTAGAGCTGTGGTGCGCGGAAAAGCGCGAGCGCTAAGAGTTAGGCCCGGTCTACAATGAGTTGTTAGTCGTTAGTCAGAAGTCGGAACTATATGTCGGTCCTTTTTCTTCTACCCAGAAAGGAAAAGGATCAACATATAGTTGCGACTTCTGACTAACGACTAACGACTCATTGTAGACCGGGCCTTAAGGAATAAGGGACCTAGCCGATCAATCACAGCCGAGATTTGAATTTTCGACTGTGGCTGATTCCCTTACCACTTCGACCTTATTGTTTATGTTTCCTGTGTGTTACGGCCTTAAAGAATTGCAAACATAGTGCTGTATACAATACATAAAGACAACGGGAAGAGTATTCTCACAGGGTCTGGGTAGCTCAGTGGTAAAAGCGATCGTCCGGTATGCGATAGATCCGGGTTCGATTCCCGGTCCAGCCGATCGCGTTTGATATCTTCCATCGACGGACTAGCCATCATCTAATTATTAAATCATTTGGGCATAAGATCATCTAATCATGGCAGAGAGTAAAAAGCAATCGTTCGGTATGTGATAGATCCGGGCTCGATTTCTAGCTGATTGCGTTTTATATCTCCCGTCGTCTGCTGGTCACAGCAGTAACAGAGAATCTCAACAAATCTAATCATCTAATTATCTAATAATTTGGGTATAAGGTCATCTAGTTATAGCAGAGAGTAAAAACAATCGTTCGGTATATTATAGACCCGGGTTCGATTCCGTCCAACCGATCGTGTTTGATATCTCTCGATCTCTGATTCACTACCTCTAATTATCTAGCTGTCTAATGATTTAGTCATAAGGTCGTCTAGTCACAGCAATATCAACGTGTATTTTCTGGATAGCTTAAATGGTGTAAAAAGCAATCGCCCGGAGAAACGAAACGATTAGATTCTCAGAATCACCCGCGCCCGATATTTTTTTTTCGCTCATGTAGTGAGATAAGAGTTCAACACGTTGCTAAGATACATGCAATAGCAAAGTGGTTTATTTCCTTGTATCCCACTCCCGTCTACATTTTTATTAAATTTCCGCGTAATAAGTGAGAACGATAACACACGAATAGCGTTACATCTTCGCATACCCGAGTTGAAATTTTGGTACTATTTTGACACTTTTAAGGATAATTTACACCTACTTAGATAACATTATATTTTTTAATCCTCCCTTGAATCTTTAATTCTAAAAATTTACTTTAGCTTCTATTTAAAAAAACCCTACTTTAATGCTAAATTGGCAAAAGTAGAAATTTCCGACACTATCAGTTTTAAAGTAGGAGAAAATTTTGTACTTGCTGTTCGACCTCTTTTACTGTCTTAGGTCCTACTGTTTAATAGAATTAAAAGTTCAACATAGGGCCAAAATTTCCACTCGGGTACATTGTACATTTATGTTCCGAATTGACCATTTATATATATATTTGCTCTTGTCATATATCTTAAAACTTTACTCTCACGCGAAATGCGACTTATTTGTAGTTGTTTTTCCATTACACGAGACGAGGAATAATGGAGGAAACAGTATACGCAAAGAGAAAGGGAAATGTTCGAAAAACGCGTATTATATGATACGGTATAATTTCGGAAACTACCCTTTTTAATTCCCCACAGCATTCCAGCGATTACGTCAGGAAGCGCTAGTGTATTCGCGCATTACTTCTCATTTCTGCGAGATTTATTTGACACCGCGCGTCGGTGAATATCCGCGCGCCTTCGTATTCGAAAATAGGTACATATTTCATGGTACATTTCGCTCTCTCATTTTCGAGGATTACCAGAGATTCCCGGTCCCTTTTTATATTCTCCTATGTTTGCCTATTCCGCGCGCGTGCGAATGCGTACGGCGATACGGACGGCGGTTGGCCTCTCTCTCTCGAAAAAAAAAAAAAATGGACGAGATAACGCGATCGCGATAAGAGCGGCGCGTGAAGCGTTTATGCGGGGAAAGTTAGCTATTGTTATTTGCAGCAACATTTTGGTCGCCGTAACGGCAAATATCGCGGTGTGTCGCGCTTACCAAATTATTAACAGTGAAATTTTGCTCCCGCCAGAGCCTAGATCCATCGTATCCCATCGTTTTCTTCGGCGTTTACATCTGAATTTTCCATCATCCCTCTGAACTCCCCGATGCACTTGGCGCAAAGTTTCCACTCACCTCTAGAGATTGTAAACAGTATAATAATGGCCGTTCTTATTACAGGCTGTTACAATGGGAGTTTCGGGAAAACTTCTGAGATTTGCCATTCCTCGGCATTCTAATTAGTAATGCTAACGAAACTTCGCGGAATAATGAACGCCGAAGCAGTATTGAATCAAGTGCTGTCGCATGTATTAACGTGTAGTGTGTGTCGGCGCCGATGTTCAGATTTTGCCAGCGAGCGCGTATCGTTCTCGTTGTTTGCCTTACTTAAATTAACACGGAACGGGGCGATCCGGTGAAAGTGAGGAGACACACGCGAAAGTATCGTTCATCACTAACGTAGTGATATAACGTACAAATAATCTATAACCTTAATTAAAGCCCTTTACGAAAGCGATATTAACGCGTCGAGAAAATTAGGGAAATCTACCGTCTACGAGAAAAATTTGAAATTACCTGACGATATTAAAGTAACGCGTATACTTGCGAAGCAATTATACTTTTTTTTGCAAGGAGAAACGTGTAAAATAACATTGAAGTCATTGTTACCGCAAAAAAAATAAATTCAACGTGTTTGCACGTGCTGTAACGATTAGCGCGCTATAAGCAAAGACGGCGACTGATAAGTAAATATACGTAGGCGTAATGGCAGGGGCTCTCTATGTCTAACAGTCCATTTACCTCGGGCGTGCTCCGAGTTCTTGTCATCGTCAAGTATTTTCGTTCTACCCAAGTTTGCGTTCGGCCACTGGTTTTTGCTCTTCAACCTCAATGGATGTGTCGATCTGTTGGGTCGACGTGGTATTAGCTTCTCTCAGTATCATCGAATAGCTCTTTACCTTCTCTTTTTCAATGAACGAGGAGAAATTTCGTGGATGCGCGCGCGATAGAGAATCGATCGCCACGGAGGGTAGGAATTTAAAAACGATGCCGGCTGGAATTCCCTCCCGCTCCTGCATTCTTATCGACGTACGCGGAGTAATACGGTAATTCTTGCGCTACAATACGTGTAACAACAATTATTGTGCTCGGAATGAAACCGGAAATTCTACGAACAAATAGCATTTGTCCGTAGAAGGGGAAGTGAGGCTTCGCTCGAGCCAATAAACCGTATTTTCGCGGTCTGCTCGTCCGCTCAAACCAGATTATCGATACTTCGATTATTCCACTTACTGCCTTAACGATGTTATTGTTTGTTCAATCAACGACATTATCTGGACAATCGTGCAACTAACCACACCGGGGCCCGCGCGTCGTGCCCCTCGTAGTTTCCTTTTCTTACCCTCCCCCCCCCTTCTCTCGTCATAAAGAATGTGAAGAGAATACAGAAAAATATATGCGGATTAATACAACGGATAACGGAAACGGTAAAAGGATGCGCGCGGGTATTTTTAATTGAATGTTGCCTCGCAAAAGAGCAGAATCGAAAATCGATGCAACGCGCATCGTAAATACTTTGCCAATGGTTTTACACGCGTGAAGCGTTACGCATAAATTTCGCGCCTCTCACTTCCACCCCTCCGCCTTCTTATAGCAGAAAGTAAAAATAATGTGGCACATCAATACGGATTAACGGCACAATCATAATAATATAGCCAATTTACAGAAATATCAAAAGCACATAACGTATGTGTATTTTCGATTAAACGTCGCGTCGCGAAAATACAATCGGAAATCGATAAAACGCCGGGACGGGGGTAAACGTATATACTTGGCCAATCGCTTTATGCGCGAAACCGTGAATGTTACGTTAACTCGGTATGGAAATACATCTCGTATTTCTTCGTGCCGCCTTTCCAAGAGGTTTCTCTAGAAAATTTGCCAGATGCGACTCAGGGACGGTTTCGCTCGCTCGCTCGCGGTCTCCATGGGCATCCGGGGGGGGCGAGAGGGGGCTCGTATCAAAGGACCTTTCCTTATATTACGACCTAAGAGGCTTCCTTCAGTAGATTATGGCAACGTCGCGCTATTGCAACTCGCTATAAGGAGCTTATAGCTCCTTGCTATCAGAGACATTGCCGAGGAAAGCGATCATGCCTTTTGCCTTGACGGACACTATCAGGTATCGGGTGCTGTCAATGCGAATATATATGGCGGAGTGCTTGATGCGGTGAGACCACCGCTTTAGACCTGGACATGCAATTAATCGCGAGTTAATCAAATTAGCGGCTATTGTCCTTGGGAACAGTTGGGACCGCGATCGAAGTGTCAACCGCAGAGGGGGATGACTCTAGATAGTTTCTGTGAAACAATTTCAACTTCTATCGCATTCCATCGTACTGTTTTCCCTCCCGCGTGCCGTCTCTAAGGCTCAATATTTGCAAGCTTATTTTCTCAAGCGGAAAACGGTCTGTTTATAATGCAAAAAGATGAGGTCCGCGCTGACACTTTTCCGCTTTTAAGATTTCAAAAGTATCGCGCGTATTTTCCAACGGCTCGCAAGTCTGTCGGCTGTTTGCGTGCGCTTGTTAAAATGTGTCGAAACTGAAAGTTTGTTCGAACCCGTCACGACTCCCTGCGAGTCGAGATCATTTTCGAATTTGACAATTTGACGCTTAAACCAATGAAACGATGACGAATGAATTCGCCTCGTCCGATTCTTCGTCATTCGTCGGTTGGTCTTACGGCGTTTTTGAAACAGATTCACCCGTGCCGCGCCGACGCGACGTGCGGCGGTAACAAGGAAATATCGTTCCACGAATCGATCCGCGGCGTGAAAAGGTCACCGAGAAGGGGTCGTCGCTTGTCGAACGTGGCGGATGCCGTGTCGATTATACCGAGCAATGTGGCCGCATGAATATGCGCCCCAAACGAGAAACACCGGGATTTCGCGATGCGCTACAGCATTCGGCGATGTGCAACGAGTCGCGTGCTTGATCAAACTTGAATGCGCAGAGCGATATATTCATAGAGAGACTAATTCTACAACATTATCGTGCCTGCAATACGATACAATATTTAAATTCGACGTATCAATGAAAACCACCGTCCACTTGTCGCCGTTACCTTCCGAGTACCTTAGCTGCTTCATCCGAATTTTAGTCTTGAAACGTTAATATCGCTTGGTCGAATATCAAGATTAGGTTTGAGAAGAAGTACAAACTTTCTTAATTATATATATATATTATAACATATATATTTATTTATATATAATTAAGAAAGTTTGTACTTTTTCTCAAACCTAATCTTGATATTCGACCAAGCGATACTTGAAAATTTATGGATTTATTACAATTTCATAAGCACTTGACGTATACACATAATATATCTACATATATATGAG